GTACTGTGAACAAACCAGAGTGCATTACCCTGGAAACTGAGCATTGTGTGACAGAGCTGAAGGGAACTTGTCTCAGGTTGTACCCTGAAAAGATCAAAATACATGTGTAGGGTGGAGGTGAGCAAGCTGCATTTGGGGCCAGATGCCCGCGTTGGGCTGAGGCACTGTGCCTTTTGTGTGTCTAGGGACTATGCCCCCTTGCAGAACATGGCACCTGAAAGAGGAAGAAAAATAAACATGGCTGACATTAGAACACATTGGTTGAAAAGCTGGACACCACCACAGTGCATGAAATTGGGGGAGGGAACTTTAAAACACAACATAGGCAGAAGTGTCTCTCTCTTTCATTGCTCCACACAGGTGGGAGAACTTGAGGCTTAGGCCTTGTATGGTTTGAAAACAGCTAGCAGAGTTTGAGTCCTGTGCTGGGACATGTGTCAACAGGCACCAGCTCTTGGGCTTGTCTTGAGAGCAGCACATGCAGGTGTGGGTTGGGAACATGCCTGTGCTCCAGGAGCACAGACAGTCTCAAGCACTGGGATCCCATAGATGGAGCTTCCCCTCCATGACCATCTGCAGTTATCTGGCAGTGCACCCTAGATCCCAGGAGAGAGAGTGCTGTGTGAGTCCATGGCAATGTTGAGACCCCCAAGTGCACATCAGAGAGAGAGAGAGAGAGAGAGAATCTGAGGACAGAGATCCATTTGCATAGTCATCTTGGATCTGCAAAAGGACAAATATGAAATAATGGGGAAATTCTAGGCGCAGGTTTTGACTTTAGTTGTTCTGGGAATAAGGGAATCTCTGTACTTTGCAGGAGAGGTTGGTTCAGTGCAGGAATGCTCCAGCTCCCTCGGACTGGAAACCCTGGTAATAAAAACCTCTTCCTTTCCCCACAAATCTTCGTGTTATGTTGTATACATGGTGGCAAGCGGCTGGACCCCAGGCTGCACAGTTACAGCAGCAGGTCATGTTGATAAGGGGATGTGAGAGGGGATTGTTTCAGAGTAGTTAGGAAATTCTAAATTCAGAATGTGCTTGTCAAGTAAGAGGAATAACCCTGGCAGCACTTGAAGCCAAAGAGGTAGATAGGAACTAGTTCCCACGAGTTTAAGGAAGATCTATGCATAACTTGTAGGTAAGAGGGGGTACTTTTTTACAGTGACCAATAAGCATAGGAAAGTATGCTTAACCAATTCATAAGGCAAGGCAGTAAAAATGAAATTTGTTTATTCTACTTTGGGCCTGACAAGTTAATAAAATTGATGATGAATCATGTTGGTGAAAATGTGAGAAAATGGGCCGTATCACATTCGGCTCATAGAAAGTGCACATTTGGACACTTTTTTGAATAATACCCTACGTAGAAATTGTAAACTTTATGTATTTGACCCTGTGACTTTAGTTTTGAGAGCTTGTTCCAATAATGTTATCAGAGAGAAACTTAAAGATACATTTAAAAGAAAACATTAGTATAAAATTGCTTAAGAACAAATTTTTGAAATTATCTAATTTAAAATGTATTCTAATACATCCATTGAATAGAATATTAGGCAGCCATTAAAACTATGGAAACAATCTATAGCAGAGAGAGACATTTGAGAACCCAATGTCTTTTTTCCTAATAGAAACTCTGCCCCTTTTTTTAGTTAGGCATGTGACAACATGCAATAAACACTTAATTTCTCAGCTTCCATTTCAGCTATAAGTTGCTTTGTGACTATAATATGGTTAATGGCTATAGGAAGAAAAAGTTTTCTGAGAGGGAGGGTTCATGTGCTTTTTCATCTCTTCCTTTCTTACTGACTGGAGAGCTATGCTTTAATAGGAGTAAAGGCTGTAGCTCCAGCAGCCATATTGAGCCAAGGAGTGACCTTTGAAATATAAGGCTCTCATTAAAAAGTAATAGAAAGGATGGACAGGAGTGAGGACATGAGGGAGACCTCACCACCTGACCATGACCAAGTCAGCCCTATATTGTCTTCCTCTAGATTTTTAAGTTTATGCTCTTTATATTACTGACATTTTATGTCTCTGCTACTCCCTTTAATCCTAGACAATAATTTAAAATAAAAATGCCATAGAAAAGCTTGTACAGTATGTTTCAAAATATATCTGAGTGTCTGCATATGTTCAGAGAGAGAGAGAAATAAACAAAATGAAAAAGAAAGAGAATATGAACCATTTTGAGGAACACAGATTTTCACTTTCTGTTTATAACTTACAAGAATAATGGTACATTTCTACATAGTCAATGTTTTCAAGATTAAAACAAAATACAGCTTTTTTAGTGCTTGTATAAACTGACTTTTATCTACAGATTGAAAATTAAAATAATGAATACTTACATGCAGACATAGTATGTTGGTAATATTTTAAATGTTCACACTTTTATAATTTTTATTTTATTTTATTTTATTTTTTTAAATATTTTATTTATTTATCTTTAGGGGGTAAGAGCAGGAGAGAGAGAGAGAGAAATATTAATGTGTGGTTGCCTCTTATGTGTCCCCTGCTGGGAACTGGTCTGCAACCCAGGCATGTGCCCTGAATGGGAATCCAACTGTGATACTCTGGATCAAAGGCCTTCACTCAATTCCCTGATCCACACCAGCCAGGGCACACTTAGATAATTTTTAGAAACTACTTCTGAGGAATCAGTTTGGCCTTTAATGTGTTTTTAGATGAACTTATCAGTGAGCTCATAAATAAATATTTTCAGATATTTAGGATTCATTAAAAATATGACTCATAATTGAAAAAATATTGAAATAGTCTATGGCTAAGTTAGAAATATATAATTAGAAATCAAGTCAAAATGAATCAAAATTAAAATAAATAAGAATTCAGTTTATAATTAGAAATATAGATATTCTAAATCAAATATTAGTAATATTTCAAGTGGAGAGTCAATAAATGATTCTAGATAATAAAGAAAATTTTATCCTAAGAATATAATCATTGCTTAATATCAGGATACCTATTAATGTAATGTCAGTAATTCAAATAGAAAAATAATACTTTCCATTATTTTATTCTATGTTAAGGACCCAAAATAGTATTCACCACTGAGGGGAAGACTAACTGTATGAAAAATAACAATGTAAATATACATTATATAAAACTAACTTAGATTAAAAGGAAATATGGTTAGTTATAGAGTACTGGAGGCATTTCCATTAAAATAATAATTAAGGATACCCAGTATCACTATTTTAATTGTTTTATTTTATCTAGAGGTATGTAATAAATATAGAACTTCATGAATAAAAGTTGTGAATATTGGCAAGGTGGAGATAAGTCTAGATCTGAAGTTGATAAAATTTTATATGTAGAATTAAAAAAATTTTATCTTATCTTATTTACTTTTATAAAATTATTTCTATTATTATTCTATTACAGTTCCTCAGTTTTCCCCCTTTGCTCTCCTCTGTCCATTCCACCCCCTGCTTGCACAGTCCATCCCCACACCATTGTCCATGTCCATGGGCCATTCATACATATTCTTTGACTAGTCCCTTCCCCTTCTTTCCACAATTGTCCCCCATCCCTCTCTGGTTACTTCAAGTCTGTTCTGGGTTTCTATGTTTGTAGTTCTATTTTGTTCATTAGTTTATTTTATTCATAGATATCTCTTATAGGGGAGATCATGTGGTATTTTTCATTGACTGTCTCCTTTCACTTAGTATAGTATTCTCCAGTCCCATCCATGCTGTTGTGAAGGGTAGGAGTGCCTTCTTTCTTTCTGCTGCATAGTATTCCATTATGTAAATATATCACAGTTTTTTGATGCACACATTTACTGATAGATTTTTAAAAGAAAACTAGGTGAAAATTTCTCTAAGTCAGTGAATGATCACTTCAGATCATGCATTAAATACATAATATATGTACAATATATTTTTAAGGATCAATAGTGGCTGCCATTTGCTTTTAATGCAGCAGTAAATCAGTTTGACTCTATAGAGGAAAAAGTTTTCATTCAAAATAGTAAAGAAATACAATTTGTCTAAGAATATTCTTATCCAAACATTTGAGTAGGTTATATAAAGAAAAATATAAACCATTTCTTAAACGTGATAAAAAGCCCTGAAGAGTGGCTCATTTTGTTGAAGTGTCGATCTATCTGTACAGCAAAACATTTGCAGATTTGATTCCAGGTCAGGGCATATACCAGGGCTGTAGGTTCTATTCCCTATCTGGACATGTACAGAAGGCAACTGATCAATGTCTCTTTATCATCTCTCTCTCTCTCTCTCTCCTCCTTCCTCTCTCTCTAAAATAAATACACAGATTCTCACATGAAGATTAAGTTTTTAAAACAAATTAAAAATAATAGGTGGCTTAATGATTACATAAAACATGGCCCTAGGTAACCAGATGTTCACATTTACATCAATTCAAACCCCATTTTAATTGTTAGAAAACATATATGTAATTTTTAAATTCACCTGAGAGCATGTACAAAAATAAATAAGACCAGCGTGAATAAAGGAGGAAGAGTGAAGATTATAAAACCACACTGATTAACAGTGTGGTGTGGCATAGCCCTAAAAGTTAAATCAGTGCTGGTAACAGTAATGACATCTGCCAAAAACAGTTGCCCAGTATGTGACGGGCAGGGCAGCAGGGAGCCAAAATATGCACAAAGCATCACCCCTGCTCTGCATGAATCAAGTGTCAGTGCACCCACGTTGTACCTGGAAACTCTTGTGTGACAAGTTAGCTAATTTATTCTAAAAATGCCACAGTTAGTATTTTACAAATGCAGGATATAAAAAAGGAGGACTCATATTACATTGAAGATGCTTATCAGAGAAAATGACTCTTTTAGTTTCTATTTTCTAGACCAGATTTCCAGACACCAGTTTATTTTTGTTTTCTCTCTAAAGGAATGTCAGATTACCCATCGGATACTTACATTAAGGCTATTTATTGGATGTTTTTAAAGCTAGTTTGAGTGGATTTTACTCCCTTATAATCAAAGATTCAGTAACATATATACTAAAATCTAGTACCTTTATTTATATTCTCCAAAAACAAATAGCCCAGTAATGTTCATGTTAAAGACAATGTTGCATCTGTAAGACAATGTTGCATCTGTAAGTAAATGACAAATGATTTATGTAGTATATATTTACACTCCTTAAAAAGTCAATAATATCCTTTTTATCAGCACTTAGTTTTATTTATTATTTTAATTAATTTTTTATTGTTGTTCAAGCACAATTATCTCCATTTTCTTACCCCCACCTCCCCACCTCAGCCATCCCTACTTCCCACCCTTGATCTTACTCCCCTTTGTTTTTGTCCATGCTTGGCTTTATACATGTTCCTGAAAATCCTTTCTCCGTTCCCCTTCATTATCCCGTCCCACCTCCCCTCTGGTTACTGTCAGTTTGTTCTTAATTTCATTGTCTCTGCCTATATTTTGCTTGTTTGTTTGTTTTGTTGATTAGGTTTCACTTATAGGTGAGATCATATGGTATTTGTCTTTCACCACCTGGCTTATTTCACTCAGCATAATGCTTTCCAGTTCCATCCATGCTGTTGCAGAGGGCAGGAGCTCCTTCTTTCTTTCTGCTGCATAGCATTCCACTGTATAAATGTAAAATAACTGTTTGATCCATTCATTTACTGATGTGCACTTAGGTTGCTTCCAGCACTTGGCTATTGTAAATTGTGCGGCTATGAACAATGGGGTGCATAGGTTTTTTTGAATTGATGTTTCAAGGTTCTTAGGGTATAAATCAATAATATCCTTAATAATAAAAATCCATAGTTCACAGCAAAGAACTTACATATATTTTAGAGAAGTATTAAACAAATCTTAGAAACAATTTTTAAAAATTATAGATGGAATAGTAAAGTATTTAAATTTAAAAAATAGAAGCAAAGAAGAACAAATGTAAAAGAATTACTAAAAATCTGCATGTTTTACATACATCATACATGAAATTTATTACCAAACTAACAAAAAACACTTGCTAACATATGACCATTAACTGAAATGTTATTAAACAGAAAGTTCTTACAAAAATTAATTTAAAAATGCATAAAACATGTAACAACATAAAGAAAACACAAATTAATAATTCACATAAAAAATAAAAATGCTAAAAATCCAATAATAATAAAAATGTCAATGAAATTTACTATTTTCATCTATTACTATAGTAAATTGTTAAACAGACTTTTAATTTTTTGTCAGTCACTATCTTAGATATTTTATGTGCATATAATTTGGCATAAATTTTTGACAGTAAAATGTGTAAAAGTATTTTATACCCACATCTAGAAATTCCACTTTTAGAAATATATGAAAATAAACATACTTAGACAAATTAAAAGTATAAAAATATTCATCATCACACAGTGTATAGAAAATAAATATTTCAAAGGACACTAAAAGTAAGTAAAGTTTAGCCCTGGCTGAGTAGCTCAGTTGGTTTGAACTTTGTCCTGTACACCAAAAGCCAGCAGGTTCAATCACTGGTTGGGGTGTGAACAGGGCAACCAATGTTTCTCTCTAATGTCAATGATGCTTCTCTCTCTCCTCTCCATATTTCACTCTCTCTCTCTCCCTCTCCCACCTTCCTCCCTGCTTCCTCTCTTTCTAAAATCATTAAATGTATCCTTGGGTGAGGAGTTTTTAAAAAGTAAGTAAAATTTATATAAAGCACACATGGAAAATAGCAAAGGGGCATGGAAACAGGAGAAGGTGGGAAGGTTTGGGGTGTTGAGCTGGGGTGGAGAGAAAAGGCAGAAAACTGTACTTGAACAACAATAAAAAAGAAATTAAAAAAGAATAGGAAAAAAGTAAGTGAAATTTGAATAATATATGTTATAATGCCTGATGGAATATTACAAAATCAAAAATAATATTTAGGGCATTTTTTACTGTGATTAGTGAGGGTTGTCCTGAAAACATACAGAACTGATTGTCCAAAATTAAGAAAATCTTATAAAAATTAGTTGAATTTTTTAACAAGTAGAGTTACAAAAAGTTTAAGTTTTATTTCTTCATTAAAAATCTTTTTATGTGTCTCTATGCTTAAATGTTGTTTTTCAGTGAGTATGAATTATCTTTGTGATAAATTGAGAAGGCAAGCATACTTTTAAAGGAATTTTGTTGAACATTAACTCAAAAACAGTGTGATAATGACTTCAGCCTGGTATTTGTAGAGAGTGGGCAATTAGGAGTTTGGTATGAAAAATTCTCTTTTTTCTGTTTGTACTGAAATGTATTTTGTAATGCTAGATAACAAAATTAAATAGGTTTCAGGCACACAATTCCACAATACATCATCCATATACTGTATCGTATGTTCACCACCACAAGTCAAGTCTCCGTACAGATATTCTTCATTAAAAAAATCACCTTTTAAAGTAATATATTCTTTACTAAAAAAGTAGAGACCAGAATGCCTTCATTTTTTTTCTGGAAAAGGTAGAAATAATATGACTATTAGTAACTAGAAGCAAGATATAAATAGAGCTAATCTTCACTGTGAGATATATCTTCACAAAAGGGCTAAGTATATGGCAATCATGTACAAATGGGAAGATCTGTACTAAGGCTGGGCTGCCTTAGCTTGGCCTCTTCAGTAGTCAGTTACACTGTGGTACTAGCTAGCCTCCTCACAGGGCAGGGAGAGATGTGACTTAGCAAAACTGCCTTCTTGGGAAGGAAGCCAAACAGTAGCTGTATAAAACCTGTCAAATCATTTCCTTTTGTGTACATGTCAGATCTAAATATTTTCTCCTCACTGAGAATGTTTTTGAGAGAAATAAAGATTGAAGGGTTTTCTATCTAGACTTTTAATTTCTTATGCCATCACCATATTATGGTCAAAGGCAAACAGAACCAGGGCTTTCCCTGGGGCTATTAAAAAAGGCAGATAAGGGGAACTTAAGTTTCCCCTTTAGACAGGTGTGTGCAGCTCCACTCTATCCTTATCTTCCATTCTGTCTGGACTGTACCTATAGTCTCTGAGTAGGAAGCACCCAAATCCACTTCCTGTGTACATTTACCTGAGAAGTTTCATAAGAGCTTCAATTGCCAGGGAAGAGGTAGAAATACCGTGTCATGGACACTCTTTCAATTGTGGGCATCTGAGCCAGCACACTTGGTTTCTCAAATGAACGCTGAACCTAAATTAGTAAAGAAATCCTTTAGAGATTTTCTAAACAGGAAATGTGAACTTCTCACTTGGAAATGAGAAAACTTACTGTATGTATTAAAGCTGTTGCCAGAGAATACAAGGAGAAGAAATTTTTAGCTTTTCCCTGGGTATAGTGGGAACTAGTACAAACGTAAACATTTCCTGAATGAGCAATTCAGAAAATCAGGATTAGAGAAATTTACACTGGTTCTATGTAGTACTTCACAAAACTTCTTCTTTAAATAAATGGGCTATAGGAAGGAGCATCAAGAGGACCTAAAACTTTAGGACTCTAAAAATGTTTTGCAAATCTTTCTACAAAGTTTTCTGGGGCATAGATTAAAAGGACAAGAAAATCCTTACCTTTCGAAAAATCTCCTCCAAATGATGACACCAAGAATATTCTTTGAAGTGCTGGATAATTTGGTAAATGAAGAGAGAGCCATTTGTACCCATTCTCCAAGAACTATTATCTGCAAATAAAAAGTATAAAGATATTGGGGGAAGTGGCTTTTGTGTGGAAGACACCCAGAGCCATAACTTTTGGTTAAAGTTTGATTTTGATGTTTTTGGGAGAGAGAGAGAGATCAAGTCTAGATAAAGCTGGGACTACAAGTTTAAAGAGCAGCCCTAAGAAAACCATCTTGGACCCTCAATTATCATCCCCTTGACTTTCTTACTATCAGGGCCAAAGTTATGACCCTCAAGATTGCTAGTAGTGTAAAATAGCATGTTTTCTTTTCAAAACTTACTTATATATATACAAATACATGCACACACACACACACACATATATTTAATCCAGCTATTGACATTTTTTGATTCTGGGTCTTCTCTTCATCCATACTTTTTTCTAGTATAATTTTTCACTCTTACAGTTTTTTTTATGTGAATATCTTCTGAATTACTACTCCTTACCATTGCATTGTGATCAAGTCTCCTCTGTCATAAAAAAGCAAATATTCTAATTATCAGTTTATCTGCAGCTACCACCCTATTTCTCCTCCCTTTTAATAGTTCAATTTCTCAAATATACTCTACTCACCAACTTCATTTTCTCCTTACCTGCTCCCTCCTGTCAAGCTTCTCCCTCCCACAGTATATTTACCAAATGATATTCTCTAAAGTTATCTCTGTTCTCCAAGTCATTAAATCTAATGGTAATTTACTGAACCTTACTTTACCTGACTTTTTGTTCACATTAGAAACTATTTTATCTCCAGCAAATTCTTTCTAGGTAACTCTGACATGCTCTGACCATACCTTCTGAGTCTAGTTTGATGATTAAATCAAACCTCTATCTCTAATCTTGAACTCTGGACATCTGCAAGCCTCAAATATGGTAGGATTTCTTCTCACTCTGTTCTCTGTTTCTAGGTAATGTTACCTATTTTCAGAATACAAAATATCATCTTTAAGTAAGCATTTCCAAATGCATTACTCTTCACCTTAAAATATGCCAAAGGAATCTTATTTTAATGAAGATATCACAGTCATCTATTTATAAACTTGAGTAACCTCTATTATCTCTTCTTATTTACCTGCTATACCCACCAAACCACTAAGTCATATTAATTTTTATCTACTAATTGTTTCTTGGATCCAACAACTCACTGCATTCCAAGATTATTATTATCACCTGTAGCCTGTAATACTGCCATAGCATTTAAACCTGTCTCCTTATGTCTAGTCTTACCAGATTGTAATCCATTCCCCACAGAATCCTCAAACTGATCACTTAAAAATAAAAATATAATTTCCTTGCTTAAGTCGCACCAAAATTTCCTATTATTATTACTATACAATAATATTAGTAATACAGTATATTTGTATAAAAGACCAGATCCTTCCCTAACATATGAGGCCTCAAATTACATGGCTCCTGCCTACCTCTCCAATCTTCCCCTTGGTCACTCTCCCTTGGCTCCATGCTCCAGCCTCACTGGCCCTGTTTTCCCAGATTCTTTCTTTCTCAAGTCTTCTGTTTACACTGCTTTTTCCGTCTTCAGTGTTCATCTCTTGCCCCTGATGTGGTTAACTCCTTAATTTTTCAAATGTGAGCACATCGTTTTTCTTTAAAACACTTATCACAATTGGCAGTCATTATTTACTTCTGTTATGTCATATGTATATCCTCCCATCCCCAATTAATTTCTGCCTCTTTGGCTTGAGCATACACTCTGAGGTGCAGTAACCATGTCTGCTGTAGTTGCATATCATGTGTCCTGCACAGAGTTGTGTGCATTAGAAAGGACTGCAAGAAATTTAAACATTAGGCTTTATTCTCTCAACTAAATTAAACAATCTATTAGAGCATGTGACTTTAATGTGGAAATCTCCTTTTAAATATATAGTTTCCAAAATATAAAATACACTGAAGTAGAACTATTCCAGATAGTCCTACTTCAGGACTGCATGGCCCTTTTCCCTACTTCTCCAGGCTAGAAGACTCACAGGATCCTGTAGTACATACTTTTGGTCATGGACTAATAGCACTGGCATCACCATGAGAGTTTCTGAAAGGTAGAATCTCAGGCCCTGCCCCAGATCTGCTGAATCAGAAATCTACATTTTAATGAGGTTCCCAAGGAATTTTTATAAACATTAGAGTTTGCCATTGCTGCACTAGAGCACTTAAAGCTATAACTTGTGTAAACTAGGTTTTAAAGATTGCCTTTATTACCTAAATGGTTGCTAACAATATTATGGATGGCTGTTAAACAGAGACTATGAACAATCAAGAATAGCTTTTGTTCTTACCTTCTACTCTTCTTCTATGACTTTTCTACCAAAATAGGATTTTTAGTCATTGACTAGATTATTCTGAAGTCAGACACTTGAATGTTAACTAATTTCCCAAGACTATATTCAAATAAGAGGCCAATATGTTCTAGGATATGTGGAACAAGTATTAGTTTTCCTGGCTCATTTAATTGCTAGTACAGGATCAGGTGGACAAAACCATATGATACATTTCTGTGGCATGGGTATATTTAAAAAGGAAAAAAAGAAACCTCTTATTTTATTTATAGTAAGACTACTTTAAGTCTGGATCCTCACTGAACTCCTGTTTAGTTTGAAAGCTTCCTCCAAAACAAAGACTTAACTTTTTACTTATGAAAAATTTAATATTTAAATGTATTTACCACTGAAAATATCTCATTAGAGAGGAAACATTCTTATATTAGTGATATGATTGTAGCCTAGCCTGTAATCTAGAAACTAAATGATTAAGAAACTATCCTTTCTGAAGCCACTTACGTGGAGTTGAAGATTTGAATGCAATGAAGTCCTTCTCTACATGGGTCTTTGTAACCGCATCACTCCAGATGTAACACTGTAAGGTATGGTCATATCTATATGCAGAAGCTCTTCCCATGTCAGTTATCCAAACAGTCCCATCACCTCCTGAGAGAGACATTCATGTCATGTGAAAGGTGTTATATTTAAATACATACACAGACATACGAAATCTTTTTTTTACCATTATGCCATCACTTCAGTACATCTTAATATATCATTTATTAAAAATGAAAGTATCTTACTACTAGAAAAACTACCTCACTGACTGTGAATCATACAGAGTGCATTTAGATTTAGAATAAATTTGTCGATTATCTGGTTGCAAGTGATCAGGGCCTTCTGAATTATTCTAGGCTACTTATCATTTCTTTAGGAATGGTACAGAGTTAATTTCTGGACTGGGACTGAGTAGTACTAAAGTAATATTTTTCTCACCTCTCTCTAGGAAAAAGAAGGCTAGACATCAGGCTAACAGAAGAAAGTGTAAGGCCCTCCCTGGGTTTTCCCAACTCAGACTCACTGCCTCTGCATGCCTGCATGATGATGACTTTGGGTTTGTCTCTTAGACTCTGGCAGTTACGGTTGTTGAAAATCTGGAAGATTGTATCATCATGAAGTATATCTGGCTCTTGTTCTGTGTGCTTTATCCCACAGATTCCTTCCAGGATGCCGTGAGACATAAACACCAAGAATGTACTGTCCGCAGATTGGTGTTCTCGCCGGGCAGCAAACTGTAATAGTTCTCTTTCCATTTCCTAAAAGAGACTCCAGAATTATTATGAAGACACTCTCCATACATAGCTTGTACTCAAACAGTACAATGTGTGGAGTAAACAAAAAAAGGTGCAGGCACCAAAGAATCAGGTTATTGGGACTTAGGATGATGCTGGAGAATGAAATATAATGAGGGGCCAAGAGACATGACGAGTCTCTAGTAGGAAGGCTAAGTGTTTATCTGTTCTGTTTGTTGAAGTTCCTATAAGTTTTCATTCCAAAAGGCAGACAGTTTTCTAGTGACAAAGACTACAAACTCTTAACAATTTTCTTTAAAATGGAATAGCAGAAAGTTAGATTTAAAATGGTTTGTCTAAAGTCACACAAAATATTTTAGGGAGAGCCCGAATCATAACTTTGTGTGTGTATTTTTTACTACATACCTAGTTTCACATTTATACACATGGTATGGAAGTGATAAAAGTCTCATGAGCTCATTATGTAGGTATCAGGCAATTTAAGAGCACAGGTCCTCCATCTCACCCATACTATCAAATAATAGATGTCACTCAGACTGAGGCCTTTAGAAAGATGCAACATTTTTAGTGAAATATTAGTACATAAAGGTGCTCTAAAACTTTGATATGAGACTGGGCATTGGAGGAGGCTACAACCCAGAGGATCTTATACTGGAGCAAACGTAATTCCTGCAATATATATTTTGTTATTATAGCTGATAAGGAAAAAATTCAAAACTGTCTAGGGTGGTAGGAAGCTTGTCCCATTCTCCTGAGTCATTACCAGAGCTGTAAGATTCACTTTTACAACCACTGAGTATCCAAGGTTTTCAAGTAGGTCTTGCATCCCCAAAAGATCGACTTCAGAACCATATCGGTTATGAAGATTATCAAATTCTTTGTTGCAGATGATGAGGGCCAGGCGTGTTCTGCCCTCCTTCTCCATTACTGGGTATATCTGCAATTAACAGATACAGAGTTAGTTGTCCCAGGTCTCCTCCCTTTTGCCTAAAGTCTATACAAAACAGACCTCTAAAGTTATAGAGTGGATGGCTGGAGAGCTTGGGAATGGTGGATAGGAGTTCAGAGTGTGTTCCAGGATGAAGTGGAAGAGATGGGAAATTTCATGTAATGATCACTTAATTAGATAACATTCTACACCATTTGTCTTGATCTTATGCCCTTTATAACAAGAACTAAAATTCCCAGTATGTCCCCCGTATCTTCTCTGAGTGGGCACATTTATGTGTCTCCCTATTCCAGAGCAAAATACCTCATCTGCCTTTTTTGTCTTCAGTTCATGCAGAAGATCAGGAGGACAAAGCTTTAACTTATGATTAGGTTGGGAAGCCTGGGTTTCCAGGAGAGCTAAAAGAAAAAGAAAAAGAAAAAACTCACTAAGCAGTAATATCCACTCCTTTGCAATCATGCAGCACTTTTGAATGTGTTCCCATTCTTTGGAAATGATTACTTCCATCCCACCAAAATGTTTTATATTTAAAATGTCTAAAATAAAAGTTTGAATATTTCCTTTTTTTCTTCCTTCCTCTTACTGACCCCACTATATATTTCTGTTTTTGTTAGTGGTCATGGCATTGACCGATCTTTCAAAGCCAATACATTAAACTCATATAAACACAGTATCTAAGATTTAGAAGGAAACCTAATGTTCATTTAGTCTAGTCAAGTCATTGGTCAGATATTTGAACTTACTTTCAATACTCCTAGTTTATTATTACCACTCTCTGAAATATCTCCACTAACAAGGAACTTGAAACATTCTAAAGCATTTTTCAAATGTTTTGAAAGACCTTTTAAGTCCCAGTATGTATTTCCTACACTGGGACCATTAAAATAAAATTTAATTCCATTCCCTGTGAAAGCTCATAAATTCCTCTATGACATCAATATACATCCCCATTGTTTTAAATACAGGCCTCATATCAACGATTATTGCATTTTTATCTTAATAGTGTTTATTATACTACAAGCTTAATTAAGATGGGGAAGGTGTCCTTAATCCTTGTATTTCCAGCATCTAGCATAATATCTGGCACAGATTAATGTTATCTTTCACAGTTTAGAACTGCTTATCAATGAACAGTTGCCTTCAACTTGACAGTAGCTATCTAGTATCTCCTGATTGTATGTTTTTTCTTAGGGCAACAAGCCTCTGTTCTTTTTAATGTTGTTTTTCTTTTTGCATAGAAAGTATTTAAGCTTTTAACCAACAAACCCATCAGTTTACCTACATCTCTCCCCACCTACTCCATTTTTCCTCCTACTACAAAGATACAATCTTCCTTCTATATAAGGGCGATACCTCTACTTATGCTCTGAATTCCATTCTCTCTCTTGCCCACAAGGACTTTACTCAGGTATTCATTCAGCTGTGCATTCCACTTCATCAGTTTCTCTCAGTCGTCCAGCTGTGGTGTCCCCATTGACATATCAGCCTGCCTTCATATCAGGGTACCTTTTAAAAACACCTTTGCCTTGACCCTGTTTTTCCTCCAGCTGAGGAATTGTGCTGAGGAGTGGAGCAGAGTCCCTGCTGACTTCCCAGCATAATCCCTTGAAAGCTTCGTCTATTTTCATTATTCTTATTTTTTTCAACTCATTTTTTCTTCTGGATACAATACAGACTGGCTCTTATCCTAACCAATTCAGTGAGGTACTTATTATCGAGTTTACCATTTTTTTATTTCACATTTAACAGGGTGGAACGCATCTTGTTTCCTGGAAAAAAAATGTGCTCTAGGCTTCTGTGATGCTGCATTTTCCAGCCATTCTTTTAAAATTTGTCTTCAGTATGGCTCTTCCTCTTCTGCCAGACATCCAAAAGTTGGGTTGTTCTATGTGGGGACTTCATTATTCTCTAACTGCATTTCTCCCCAGGGCCTCTTTCAGTCCCATCATCTTAAATCTATTTACATTCTGATGGGTCCAAACATTTATTTCCATCCCTGATTCCTTTTCAAATTCCTCAGTAGAACATCCACCTGTTTACACAACATGTACCCTTGGATGTGGAACATGTTTCAAATTAAACATGTACAAAGGGCTCCTGGTATCTGTCCACAGCTGCAAACCTGTTTTTCCTGACTTCACTATCAATTACAAGTTTTCTGTATCTCAGTTGCCAAATCAAAAAATCCTAGAATCATCATCAATTCCCTCATTTATTTTATTAACACACAGCCAATCCACCTGCATTTCTGTTGATCTTACCCCCCATATAAATCCCAAATTTAACTCCTTGTCATCATTTCTATTACTACAACTCTAATCTAAAAGCTATTATCTCAACTGAAACATACAAGCAGCTTTTAACTAGCCCTTTTGACCCTATGCTTGTTTATCTGTCCTCCATTTAAAGACTTCTTACCGGTTTCCTATTGCAAATAAAATTCATACTCTTCCCCACTTTCTGAAAATCCCCAAATGGAGAAGTAATGACAGACTGGCTCTTTAGCAGCCCCTTCTACTGTGTTCTCCTGATTTCCAACTCTCCAGCCAGACTGGCCTTTTCCATGACAAGATTATTCCAGATTCAGAGCTTTTGTTCTTGCTCTTATTTCCGCTTTCCATGGAACGCTTTTGATTTGAACTTTGTCACAATTCCCTTGTTATTGTTCGAGTAGGTACTGAAATATCACCTCGAAAGAGTTCTCAAAACTACCCATCCTGTACCCTCCACCGATCCCAACAACAGCATCTCTTCCTATGGCCTAATCATCTTCTCTCTTGTTTGTGCCCTGAAATTGCACTATTTAGTTTCTACATGTTTTTTTAACATCTTTTATTAATTATGCCATTACATTTGTTCTATTTCCCCCCTCCATTCCCCTCCACCATGCACACATCTGCCCCACCCTGCACACCCCTCCCCCACCATTCCCCCCTCTTTAGTTCATGAACACATGTCTCAAGTTCTTTAGATTCTGTATTTCCTTTACTATTCTTACCCTCCCCCAATCTATTTTCTATCTACTGCCTATGCTACTTATTTTCTGTACCTTCTCCCCCCTTCCCCTCCTCCCACTCCCCTGTTGCTAATCCTCCATGGGATCTTCATTTCTATGGTTCACTCCTGATCTAGCTGTCCTCTTAGTTTGCTTTTGTTTTAGGTGTGGTTGTTGATAACTGTGAGTTTGCTGTCCTTTCACTGTTCATCTTTTTTATCTTCTTTCTCTTAGGTAAGTCCCTTTAACATTTCATATAATAAGGGCTTGGTGATGATGAACTCCTTGAATTTGGTCTTATCTGAGAAGCACTTTATCTGTCCTTCCATTCTAAATGAAAACTTTGCTGGATAGAGCAATGTTGGTTGTAGGTCTTTGGTTTTCATGACTTGGAATACTTCTTTCCAGCCCCTTCTTGCCTGTAAGGTCTCTTTTGAGAAATCCGCTGGCAGTCTGATGGGAACTCCTTTGTAGGTGACTGTCCCCTTATCTCTTGCTGCTTCTAGGATTCTCTCCTTCATTTTCATCTTGGCTAATATAATGACGATGTGCCTTGGTGTGTTCCTTCTTGGTCCAACTTCTTTGGGACTCTGAGCTTCCTGGATTTCCTGGAAGTCTATTTCCTTTGCCAGATTGGGGAAGTTCTCTTTTATTATTTGTTCAAATAAGGGTTCCACTTGTGACTGTTCCTCTTCCCCTTCTGGTACCCCTATAATTCGGATGTTGGGATGTTCAAAGATGTCCTGGAGGTTCCTAAGCCTCTCCTCATTTTTTTGAATTCTTGTTTCTTCATTCTTTTCGGTTTGGTCATTTTTTCCTTCCTTCTGGTCTACTCCCTTGATTTGAGTCCCAGTTTCCTTTCCATTACTATTGGTTTCCTGTGCATTTCCATTCATTTCAATTAGTTTAGCTTTCATATGTTTCTCTAATTTGTGACTAAAATCAACCAGTTCTGTGAGCATCCTGATGACCAGTGTTTTGAACTGTGCATCTGAAAGTTTGGCTATTTCTTCATCACTTAGATTTATCGGCTCTGGGGCTCCGAGTTGTTCTTGAGTCATTTTTGGTCTGTTCTCACCCGTTAAGTTTGAGGAACAGGTCTTAGTTGTTTACCAGGGCGGGGCCACCCAGGTCACTGGTTTGTGACAGCTGTATGTGGGGGCGGGGTCAGAGAGGGAGCAATGGCAGTCCTCTCTGCTTGCCCAGGCCCTTCCACCATTCGCCCCTGCCTGTTTATCAGAGGGGAAATGTGCCAGCCACCGCCCTGCACAGTGCAGTCTCCATGCTCGCCTCTTCGCTGGTTTATCTGCAAGCAAATGCTCAACCGACCTCAGACAGCCAGGTGCGCCTCTTCATTGTGTCCACCTGTAGCTAGCTCACACCTGGGATCCGTGCCTTCTGCTGCTTGTGCACCACCTGGGTTTGGGATCTTTTTGGCCAATCGGCTCCGCTGCTGGCTTCGCCCCTCTTACTGGTTTAGCTGAGCATTTTGTTGTTTTCAGACTCTGTATTGTTGATTTTCTGTATGGTTTGTTTGCATTTATTGTTGTTAAAACTTTATTATTTTTAGATTTGGTTGTGTGCGGATGCAAGGTATTTCCACCTATGCCTCCATCTTGGCAGAAGTCCCTGAATGTTTCTTATATATTCATTCTCACTACAGTGCAAACGCCATGTAAGCATGGTTTTTGAACTGCTTTTTGCTATAAACCGAGTAATTAGAATAGCATACAATAGGTTTTCAGTTAATGTATGCACATATATAATATGTACATGTACAAAATGAATAAAGATTACAAAGTTTTTATTCCCTCATTCAGAAACTTTGAATATATGATACTCAGAAGACAACACTGTCACTACTCCCTGTCTAGACCCTATTATTCTTTTTTAATTTTTTTAAAGATTTTATTTATTTATCTTTTTTAGAGGGGAAGGGAAGGAGAGAGGGAGAGAAATATCAATGTATGGTTGCCTCTCACACGAGCGACCATCTGGTTCGCAGACCCGCGCTCAATCCACTGAGCTATACCAGCCAGGGATAGACACTATTATTCTTTAAAGTGGGCGTACATGTCATCAGGTTCTTTAGTGACTATATAGTATATATAATTCATAGTGTTTTTTAATATACTTTTCTTTTTTCTTATTTTAATTGTTGTTCAAGTACAGTTTTCTTTCTTTTATTCCCAGACCAGCCCACCCATCCAAGTCACCTCCCTGCCTCACATTTCAACCCACCTTAGTTTTTCTCCATGTGTCCTTCATACTTGTTCCTGTAAATCCTTCCCCTTTTCCCCTGAAATTCCCTCTCCTCTCCCCTCTGGATATTGTCAGCCTGTTCTCTATTTCAGTGTCTTTGGTTATATTTTGCTTGCTTGTTTGTTTTGTTGTTTAGGTTCCTGTTAAAGGTGAGATTATATGATATTTGTCTTTTACTGCCTGGCTTATTTCACTCAGCATAATGCTTTCCAGTTCCATCCATGCTGTCGCAAAGGGTAGGAGCTCCTGCTTTCTCTTTGCTGCATAGAATTCCATTGTGTAAATGTACCATAGTTTTTTGATCCGTTCATTTACTGAAGGGCACCTAGGTTGCTTTCAGCACTTGGCTATTGTAAATTGTGCTGCTATGAACATTGGGGTGCATAGGTTCTTTTGGATTGGTGTTTCAGGTTCTTAGGGTTTACTCCTAGCACTGGAATTGCCAGGTCAAAGGGCAAATCCATTTTTAGTTTTCTGAGAAAATTCCATACTGTTTTCCATAGTGGTTGTACCAGTCTGCAATCCCACCAACGGTGCAGTAGGCTTTCCTTTTCTCCACAGCCTCCCAACACTTGTTGTTTGTTGCTTTGTTTATGATGGCCATTCTGACTGGTGTGAAGTGGTATTTCATTGTGGTTTTAATTTGCATCTCTCTGATAGCTAGCAATACTGAGCATCCTTTCATGTGTCTCTGGATCCTGTGTATGTCCTCCTTATAAAAGTGTCTGTTCAAGTCCTTTGCCTACTTTTTTAATTGGGTTGCTTGTCTTCTTAAAGTAGAGTCATGTAAGTTCTTTATATATTTTGGAGATGAAACCCTTGTGTGAGGTATCATTGGCAACTATGTTTTCCCATATGGCTGGTTCTCTTTTTATTTTGATACTGTTTTCTTTAGCCATTCAGAAGCCTTTTATTTTGATGAGATCCCATTTGTTTATTCTTTCCTTTACGTCCCTTGCTCTAGGAGATAATGTACTTTTCTTAATCACATCTTTAGTTGGTTTTGTAAAGTTGGTAGTTGCTTATATCATAGATGTTTTATAGATCCTTTTAAAGATATTATTAATCCCATTTAAAAATATGAACCTGACAAGGTGAGATATATATATATATATATATATATATATATATACACACACACACACACACACTCACACACACACACACACATACCAGAGAACATGGTTAGACAATGGCAGATGAGATTAATGTATAGATTTCTTGTGTTTTACCCCATTGCTCTTCCCATTACACTACAGAGACTTTTTTACGTGCCTTAACTTAAACAATGTCATTATGTGTTCATGATATTACCTGTCATAGGTAGAGCTGATGCCTGGTACAATCCAACATGCTCCTCAGGTTTAGCATTTTCATTTTCACCTTCAGATTCTTAGGAGAATTAAAGAACAGGTATGTGTGTGTTAATTTTACTTTTGTTGGGGGCAGAAACTTAGTTAAGGACACGAGAAAAATGCCTGATTTATTAAATCTAAATTTGGTGGTCTTTTCACTACAACATAGGGTCCCTGTATAGCTGCCTTCTCCCAAGTGATGTATGAGGGCTCCCATGAGTCATTGGGTTTTGACAGCATTTACCTGTTGGAGGGACAGCCAATGCCTGCCGTGATCCAGCCTTTTGCTCATCCTCATTTTCTTCATTTTCATTTTCAGATTCTGAGTTGGAACAAACAAGAAGTTAAGCATCAATCCTCTACTTCAAAAGTTATTTCCAAAGATGAACATTGACTGAGAATATGCATGTCGTAGATCTTTACCAGAATACATTCTGACAACACTAGAAGTTCAAGAGTTTTTTACTATGATGTGAGATTTGAAGGCAGTTACCTGTTGAGGAAGAAGATTCACTGTTCTCAGGTTCATTATCTTCATTTTCAGGATGAGATTCTAAAATAAAATAAAAATTTGTTAACAGAATAAGTTTCTCACAACTATACACTTCAAACTCTTTCCCTTGCACTGACAAGGAAATGACTATGTTCAGCATAGGGCTACCTTATGAAGCCTGGCGGTTTGGCTCATTCTCTAAACTCCAGGTTTGTTTGTTTGTTTGTTTGTTTGTTTTTTAGGGAATTATAATATTCTGTCAAATGAAAGGAGAGTCAGACTTTCTGAGAAACAAGGAAGAGCTCATTATCTTCCTGTTTATATACTACAAGAAATATATTCTTTCATCAAGGCTTTTCTGTAAAAGCATTTCTTATCCTGAGGAGGAAAAGTACATGCCTTTACAAAAGTTAGTCCTTTAACAACAAAAATATGATACTGGAGGGATATTCCAAGGATTTGGAATATACCAGTATATATATTTTACTCTAAAGTAGGGATCAGCAAACTAGAGTCTGAAGGCTCAATTCAGCATAAGACCTATGGTTGTAAATAAAGGTTTATTGGATCACACTCATTTCATACGTATTATACAATATGTTGGAGATGTCATGCTACAACAGAAAATTAAAGTCATTGTGACAGAGATCATATGGTCCAAGATGTTTAAAATACTATCTATCCTTTCAAAGAAAAAGCACGGCCAACTCATACTTCAGAGAGAAAGATACATTTGTGCTGTACCCTCAAATTACGTACATCCTCTTTTAACAAGGAAAAATATAGGTTCTTAGAGATTTAACCTTTGGGATAAGCCATTGTTAAGCAGAAGATGATGTATGTTTTTGTATTGAAAATTATATGTTTGGGAATGACTCCAATGTCCAAAGTGTATGGCCAGAGTAGCCCAGATTAGGTAAAAATTTGAATTAAATCTTATACAACTCCAGTCCCATTGATTCATTTAACAAATATTTACTTAGCACCTGTCAGGGTCCATGTCTACCAGTTTGGGATAGATTCCTGAACCAAACAAAGTTATGTATCTCTTGGAACTTGGAACTTACATTTTAGCAGGGAGACACAAAATATAATGAATAAGTAAATACTGTAGAATGATTGAAGGTGACCATTGCTAAAAAAATTTAAAAAGGAAAATGTGCATCATTGTAAAGTGATTGGGGATGTTGCAACAGGGATGAAAGTAGATCAGGGCATTCTGAAGTATCGAATGAGAAAGTCAGGCAAAGAAGATACTAGAGTTGTGGGTAGTTTGTTCTCCACATGCTATCATAAATAAGAAGACAATGGGTGTAAAGATAGTAGATGAAGAACAAGTTACTAGCCTTCTGGCCTGAGCTACTCACTTAATCTCAGTTGTCTCTTGGTGTTGAAGATCCGGTCCATAAGTATTTTGCCTGCTATTTCAGTTTTCTCAGTGACATCATCAACTAGGCTTTCAGTCCTATCCACGATGAGTTTCACTCTTTCCCCTAATCTTTGTAACTCGTGTCCATTTAATACATTCTTTTCCATCAAATCATCAAAAATGTCATCAAGGAAGTTCTTTGCAATTGACTTCATCATGTTGATAGGATCTTCTTGAGGTCTCTTGTCTGTGAGAAAGATAGGATTTTAGATGTAGACAGGACCTTCAATATCTGGCCCTAGGCCAGTGGTTCTCAAATTTCAATGTGCCAAAGATAAAGCTTAATAATCAAAACTCTCGGTACTCCATTCACAAAAATTCTAATTTGATAGGCCTTGGCCAAGTTGCTCAATTGGTTAGAGCATCCTGCTGATACACCAACGTTGTGGGTTCAATATCCAGTCAGGGCATATGCAAGGAGCAACAGTGAGTGCATAAGTGGAACAACAAATCATCTATCTATCTATCTATCTATCTATCTATCTATCTATCTACCTAGCTATCATCTATCTATATGTCTATGTTCTATCTAAAAAGTAATTTGAAAGATCAGGGTAGATCTATCAAATTTTCATTTCATTTTACTTTATTTCCATCAATTTTCCATGAATCTAACAATTCCCGAGATAATGCCAAAGACATTTAAAATAACATCTACCGGTATCTTGTTTAAGCCTGTGCCTTTTTATAGATGGGGAAACTGAGTTTCAGAGACCTGAAGCAATTTCACTAAGAAGGTTAATGATGGCTGACTTTGTTCAGTCATTGTACTGACCATCATCTATTCACTTCCTGTCACATTTATCAATGATTAATTTAAAAACACATTATGTTCCATATGTATAGCAGTAAAGCATGAACAAATTGCACCTCTAAAAGAACGCATTTTGTTTTCATGGGTATGGCTGAGGGCAGTTCTGCTGAGATCGGGAGAGCAAACCATAGCTGGTATGCTTGCTGCTGCAAATGAAAGGTCATAGAGAGAACAAGAACTTGGAGAAAATGCAAGTTACTCTGTTCCACAGCAAGGCCTCTCATCTGAATAAGAGGACACTCATAAAATTGGTGATAATTCTGGGTCAGTATGAACACAATAAAAGCCTAAAATCACAGAAAAGGTTTAAGAACACAGGTACAGACTTTTTACACGTTCCCTTCTTTCTAAGAAGCTATGACTTATTAAGTAAAATAGTTTCTGTTTTCATAGTCATTACTGTGGCCCAAACTCCTATCACCCGCATCCTAGAGTAAAATAGTTTTGCAGGGTGAGTGCCCCTCTCCTGGATCTTTTTCTCCCCACCCTATCCTCCAGAGCTGTAAACCCCTCAAAACACAGCCATAAACAATTAAAAAAAATGTAGCCACTCACCAGCCATTGCTGCTTCAGTTCCCTGGGCAGGCAAAGCAGTGAAAATGAAAGCAACCTTCTTTCTTATTTCAGTGGACTCATGTGTTCACGTTGCCTAAATGGGGAAACTGCAGCTTCTCAAATTGTATTCTCTGCCAAAGTAGAAATCGACTCCTTGGATTTGTAGCTTCTTTTCTTTGGAAAACAGCAAAACCTGTCTTCTCACTTTGATATAACAAAGTCTGCAGGATGAAATACACACACACACAAAGTTTTTGTTCCATTTTCCAATCTATTTTTAACACACTTAATAAATCAAATTGACTGTTATTTGTCTGTGTGCTGCCCCTTAACCACTAAATTGGAGGGAGGACCGTTCAACCCTGGAAAGAACGTATTAATGTGGAAGGCTTGTGGGGGAGAAAGAAACCCAGGGAAAACTGTTGAACTTAGTAAGTGCATCACTGTTTTAAAATCCCAAATAGATAATCTCTTCTTTCTTTCTATTTTTTAGAAAACAAAAAACTTTGCTTTGTACATTAAAAAAGATAAATTCTTTTTTTGTGAAATGTGCATAAAGACTATTTCTCAGGTTAAATAATATCCATGAAGAGAACCTCAGAACTATTATACTGTAATTAAATTTAATGGTATCTGCTAAACAAAAGCATTGGAGTCTTCATGTATTTGTAAGAAAATTCCAGTATTAATTTTGAAAATAAATGTTTAGATTGTGGTTTTAAAAATTCAGTTTAGATTTATTAAACAATTGCGTATAACAATACCTAGAATAGTGCTTAATTTATAGTATTGGATGAAATAAGATAGTTCATTTCCCACTACTCAGTGAAACTTAGGCAACCTTTTCTCTCTTTCCTGATCTCCTTAGTTGTCAGTTCTGGGTATTGTTTATCTGTGTATTCATGTGTATATTTTTGGTTTACTGAATGCAAAAAGGACTCTTCTACTTAATTTAAAAAGTAATAGCTTTGCCATTATAAACAATAGAAAATTTTATAAAATGGACTATTATCATCTAGCTCTTCTCTTTTTGTATATATCAATTACATATTTTTAAATGTCTATATTATTAATGTAATTACATATTTATTTCAAAAATCTACACACACAAAAAACATTTCCATAACTTTATACAGTGTTTATTCAGGTTCCTAAATACATTAATTTCTTTCTTTGATCTTCATTCCTTCTTGTATCTCAAGAACATGTTAGTATTTTCATTAAAGCAGTTTGCTAGTTGCAAATTCCTTCAATTTTTCTTTCCTAAAAATATCTCTATTTTGCCTTTCTTTTCTTTTAAATTTATCATATTTTTTCCATTCCCATTTGTCCCCTTTATACCCACTTCTCATCTGCCTCCTCTAATTATCTAGCTTCTTTAGTCTCACATGACAGTTACCACAATTATATGTCTACGTTGTATATTTGTGAATTTTTACTATGCTTTTTAAAAAACACAAAACAATACTGATTTTAGATAGCCCCAACAATTGGCTTCCTTGGATCCATGCTCTTTTTCCTGACTGCAGACTGGTCTTATGACTTGGTTTGGGCCAACATGATGCAGTAATGCGACGTTGTGCAATTCTCAGCCCAGGTCACTGGAAGCATTGTGAATCTCTCCCTCATGACCACTTGAGCCTCTATGAGAATAGGCCTGCTCTAGACAGCTGAAAGATAAGAAACACCACATAGAGAAGCGTCCAGCTGTGTCAGCCAAGGTTCCCTCACCCTACATCACATTTAAGCCAAACATATGAGAGATCCCAGTTATTGCACAGAGCCCCAAATCAAGGAGCTCCTTAAGTGTTCATGATATTAAAAAAAAAAAAACACCCAGTGGACTAGCATGTGGACATGCTGTTTATAACTCACATATAGGTGAGTGCACCCATGGCAGCGAGTTCGTGTGAGAGAGACCACACCTCCTCCAGACTGAGGGTCATTATAAGGGGTCTCAGACAAAGGTAGCATGGGTCCAGGTTGCACAAACCTATGTGTGGCCTGGAGCTGCATTACATCAGTGTGTATGTGCAGATGGAAAAGGTCAAGAAGCTGTCACAGGACAAAAAAACACTACCGAAAGAAGATAAGGAAGGAGTTACAGTCCATTCCCAAAACAATACAGATTCCTTCTCACCAGAGACTATATGACTAATCTTCAGTCACATGAGGGAGAAGAGCCATGTATTGGCCCCACACTAACAGTGTCAGTGGAGATACCTTTCCTACATGCAGGTGATCTCAGACACATAGGTAATGCCAGAAACAAGAAGACCCACCCAATTGACTTGTGAATCATAGTAAATACTTATTGATATAAGCCACTGAGTTTTGGGGTAGTTCGTTACTCAGCTGTAGATAACTGACAGATATATACTTACCTATGCTTTTTTTCCCCATAGTATCAATAAGTTGTTTTTTTAAATTTGACAATAGATGAAAATATTTATAAAAGTCAACACTTTAAGAACTATCTTATTTTTTGATCATTATAAATACTAAAAGTGTTTCCAGGTTATAATTTTAGAATGTTTTGCAAAATTAATAGATATGCAACACAATTAATCCAGTAGTACTGAAAAAAGCATAATGAAAAGCATACTCTCCAGTACAACTCTTTCCACTTTTAATCCCATATCCTACATTTCATTTCTTAAAGTATTTTTGTTTTTGTTTTTTTTGTTTGTTTTCTGGTGCTAATCTTTAGAACTCTCAATAACATGCTTATTTTATCCTCTTATTTCCTGATATTAAGTTGAAAAAATGCCTTTGATACTTTCTACAAAAAAAGATGTAGTTTATTTATACTGCCTCACTTCTACCAGTTCTACCTAAAATTTGATAATTTAATTTGAATTATTTTATTGATTAATTTTTCAATATTAAATAGCGTTTAACCCTCATTTCTTCTTCCATCAGTGTTGCTCAGTAATGATTCTCCTTTATGTAAGTTGATGATAGTTGCCTATGTACAATTCCCTCCATCTTTTCTCACCTCCAATTATATCACCATTTTAACCTATATTTTTATTTTACATTATCAAAGTTATTAAAATTTTCATTCAATTCTTTATTCACTACCAAGTTTCCTGTGCTCTGTCCATGCAATAACTAAATGTTATTGCAATAAAAATGTCTATATTAGTATTGGAGATATATGTAGATATATAGAGAGATAGATTCTGTATATATATGTATTTCTATATAGCTGTATGGCAAAATGATATATTAGTACTACATTTTCTTCCCTTTGAGCCCAATCTCACGAATATTTTTTCATTCAGAGAAGAGTATTTCTAGTCTCAATATCTACCAATTCACCATTGCCTGGTCTCATGTAGTTGGGCTTCGCCCCTACAATTCTATCTAAGGCTAAGCCATAATTTTATTCTAATTCTTAACCCTTACTTATTCAACAACATTCTTTAACAATAGTCCTGTTGCTCTTCTACCTCACTGTTTTCTAATAATTAGTTTTATTCTTCTGCTCATAATTCTCTAATTGCTTTTTACTTTTGAGTAAAAGTGAAAAGTCTTTTACTGTAATGGTGCCTTGTATACGTGGACCTTGGTCCCCTCACTGACCTGAAGTCCTAACTTTTCCCTATTCCTTTTGTTCTCTGATTCTAGACACACTAATTCCCTTGGTATTCTTCAAACACCCCAAGCACATTCTTATCTCAGAGCATTCTTACTTGTTTTTCCTCTGTCTGGAATGTTTACCCTTAACATATCTCATAGCTGGCTATATCTCTTTCTTCAGGTTTCTTCTGATATAAATTATGTGTTTATTTTATTTTTGTCTATTATCCCTCTCTTCTCTGTTAGACTTTATGTGTCATGAAGACACAGACTTTGTCTGCTTTTTTTTTACATAGCAAATGCCTGATATAAAGTCAGTTTTTAGTATTTGAGATTAATTAATCAAATGGATCTTTTGCTAATTATGTGTATTATAAGAGGTTCTTCCCCTGGTTTCTACAGCTTCTCTTTTTTTTCTTTCTACCATCTATAAATTCACTTTTATTTTTATTTTTTAAGTTTTTTCAAGGTATAGTTTATAAATGAAACATTGCAGTTATTTAATGTAAACATTTCAATGAACTTAGAAGTTTGACTACACTCATGATATCAACACCACAAAGTTTAACATTTACACAGTGCTCTTAAATCTTATCATAAATTTATTTACAGGTTTCTTTATACAATGTGCTTTCCAAATCTTGTTGAAAAAATGCCCCTACACGAATCACATAAAGATGCTTTCCTATATTTTTTCTCCTAACAACTTTCAAAACATTATTTTTTACCTTTTTGTCTTTACTGAATTTGGAATATTCTTTTGTGTATGGCTTGGGGTACAAAATATGTGTGTGTGTTTCTGCAAAATATTTTTTTGAATTATTTATTATTTTACTTCTGCAACCTGCCATGTTCTATATTGTTCATTCTAGCCTTTGCATACTTTTCTATGTATCTATTTGTCTACTCATGTGCCAACTTATAGAACTTTACATTATGTCATGATATCATGATTTATGTTCAGGTAATATCTCACCACTTTTTAACTATTTTTCTAAGCTATTTTTACTAATTTACCTTATAAACCAATAGGATAAGCAAATTGTCAAGTTTAAGAAAATACCTCATTGGATATTCTTTGGTATTCTGTTGTTTATAGATTAATTTGGATGGAAATAGAAAATTTTAGATTCATTTGTTTTCTCATAAATTATGTGTCATATCCCTCATGCTAGTTAAATCTTTTATGTCACTCAATAATTTCTTAAAATAATTTTCCAGCCCTGGCTGGTGTAGCTCAGTGGATTGAGCATGGGTCTGCGAACCACATGATCGAGGTTCAGTTCCCAGTCAGGGCACATGCCTGGGTTGCAGGCCAGTTCCCAGCAGGGGACGCACAAGAAACAACCATACATTGATTTTTCTCTCCTTCTCTCCTTCCCTTCTCCTTTAAGGATAAATAAATAAAATCTTTTAAAAAATTACAAAAATAATTTTCCATATATATGTTATAACTATTTCTTTATGTTTTTCTTTAAGCACTTTTTATGTATATTGGTATTGCAAATAGAGGCTTAAAAAGCAAAAATATTTCTTACTTGGCTGTATTTTGAATAGCAAATGTTATTAAACATGTATTTATTGTAATTCTTGTGAACGTGAATACTTTATTTTAAATTTTAAGAAATTTAAATGAGGACTTTCAGTCAAG